GAGATAGATCTGACCATTGCATAAACTTCCTTTCTGCTCCAAGAACAGTCTGGTAATTTTTGAATGGTATTGTGTGGGGAAAGAGCCTGTAGATTTGGTAACAATACCCTGAAGGAAGATTTTGATCTTATTTATTTATATTTATACTTTTATTTTATTGAGATACTATCTTGTGCAATCCAGGCTGGCCTCCAACTTGCTATGTAGATCAGGCTGGGACTTGAATTCTTGATCCTCCTACCTAAATCCTGGGATTATAGGCTTGTACCAAGACATCTGGCCACAGAAAGGCTATTTATTTATTTATTTATTTATTTATTTTATTTGTTGGTTCAGTTTTTTAGTTTTCTCTGTGTAATCCTCACTGTCCCAGAACTTGCTCTGTAGACCAGGTTGGCCTCGAACTCAGAGATCCACCTGCCTCTGCCTCCCTGAAGGGAGTGCCTAAAGCGTGCGCCACCTCCGCCCACCCTCCTGGAAAGGGTTTACTCCTCATCATTTGGCATATGAAGAAAGGAAATGTGGCCAGACATGATGGGCCACATCTGAAATCCCAATACTTTGGAGGCTGAGGCAGGGGGATTGCTGTGAGTTTGAGACCAGTTTGAGATATAGAGAGAGTCCTTGTCCCAGTGAATACATAAATACATAAATAAAATAAATAGAAAAAAAGGGGGGGGATCAGGGGCTCAATCGAGCCAAGCATCCATCTTGCATGCATGACAACCTGAGTTTGATCTTTATGTAAAAAAGCCAGTCACAGGCCCAAACCTATAATCCTCGTGTTGGGTGATGGAGGTGAGACGGGTGTATTGATGGGGCTCAAGTTAGCCTACCTACTCAGTGAGAGACCCTGTCTCAAAAGACAAAGCAGACTGAACCTGAGGAACACCACTCAGAACAGCTGACTTGTGGTCACACAACACACATACACACACACACACACACACACATACAAACACATATACACACACATACAAACACACACATACACACACATACAGTATACACATAGTACACATTCATACACACAGAGATACACAGACACACACATAAAGACACAAACATACAGACATACATACAACATATACACAGATACACATACAGAATACACACACACACATACACACACGCTGAAGTGATGACTCAGTGGTTAAGAGCACTGACTGTTCTTCCAAAGGTCCTGAGTTCAATTCTCAGCAGCCACATGGTGGCTTGCAACCATCTGTAATGGGATCTGATGCCCTCTTCTGGTGTGTCTGAAGACAGCGACAGTGTACTCACATGCATAAAATAAATAGTAAGTCTTTAAAAAAAAAAAAAAAAAAAAAAAAAAAAAAGAGCCAGGCGGTGGTGGCGCACGTCTTTAATCCTAGCACTTGGGAGGCAGAGGCAGGAGGATTTCTGAGTTCGAGAGTTCGAGGCTAGCCTGGTCTACAGAGTGAGTTCCAGGATAGCCAGCTACACGGAGAAACCCTGTCTCGAAAAACAAAACAAAACAAAACAAAAGAACGCACACACACATACAGACATATATACACACGCACACTCACACAACTTTATGCACACACTTTCATATACACAGTCATACCTGAATCAAGGTAGGGTCCCCAGCAAAAAGGAAAATTGCTAATTCTGTTCCTAGCCCTGCCACTCAGCCCTTAACAAAGGTCTCCATTCTTCAATCAGTAATTCTGTTAACATAATGCTATGACTGCAAGCAGAGCCCAGAGCCCCCCTGGATATTTGATCTCCACATTTGGCCTCAGTTCTTCTCTCATCTGGAGAAACAGCAGTGAGAGCACTGTGAGGGGATTCTCAGAGGGTCCGGCCACCATGGCTGCCCTAGCCAGGACACGATGTGAGGCAATGGGGACCCAGAACGGGAGGAAACTCGTTTATTTATTGAGCACCTACCATAGGCTCAACACTTTCCTCTAAAATTACATTTACGTGTTCATATGCGGGTGGGGTTGCCACGGAAGTGAGCCACGGAAGAAGAGTGGAGGCCGGGGTAAGTATGCCATTTCTCTTCGTCATGTGGGTTCTGCAGAAGGAACTGGGGGCTGATGCCTTTAACAGCTGAGTCACGTCACTGGCCCGAGCAGACAGTTTTCATTTAACCCTTGCAGCAATAGTAGGAAGTGGAATTTTGGGTATTTCAACTTTTCAGGGTGAATGGGAGAAAAAAATGCCATAGGAGGAAGTTTGTTATAATCTGTATCTTGCAGCTAAGGCTAAGAAGAGAAGCGGTTTGCCCAAAGACAGTGTAGCTATGAAGGCTGGATTATGTGATTTCAAATTAAAAATATATAACATGACACGACTGGGAGGTGGTGGCCCATGCCTTGAGACAGGCAGATTTCTGAGTTCGAGGCCAGCCTGGTCAACACAGTGAGTTCCAGGACAGCCAAGGCTAAACAGAGAAACTCTGTCTCGAAAAACGAGACCAACCAACCAGCCAATCAAGCAACCAACCAAACAAAAACACACAACATGGGTTGGAGAGATGGCTCAGTGGTTAAGAGTATGTACTTCACCTTCAGAGGACCTGAGTTCAATTTAGAGTAACCATGTCAGGTGGCTCACAACAACCTGGAAACCCTGGCTCCAGACCAGAGCTTCTGTGGGCACTTGCATTCATGTGTACACAGACTTACACATAATTAAAAGTAAAAAAAAGATAAATCTTGAAAAAAAAAAAAAAGATGAGCCTCCCACCAAACACCTTAAAAAAATACACAGCATACTTTCAAATTAGGCCTCTATTAAATCCTTCTTTTTTCTTCAGTGCTGGGGAGTCTACCTAAGATCCCACACTTGCTAGGTAAATGCTTCACCACCAGGCTTCAGCTCCAGCCCCCTTCCTACGCTTTTCAATGTTAACTGGCTAATTAGAGGCAGAGTCTCATGTATCTCAGGCTGGCTTTGAACTTGCTGAATGGCTGAGGATGACCATAAACTTTTGCTCCTCTCACCTCTTACCTGCTCAGTGCTGGGACTGCAGGGGTGGGCCATCACACCAGAGTTATGTGACGCTAGGTCTTAAAGGTTCTCTGCACATGCCAAGCCAGCCCTCTTCCAACTACACTGCCAGTCACTGGTCTGTATTCTAGTTCTTACATTTACCTGTTTGTGGGAAGGCCTGGGGGAGGAGCTGGCAGAGGAGCGCATGCATGTGCCAAGGTCGAGTGTGGAGGCAGAGAACAACTCTGAATTTCTCCTCCTCTTCCTCCTCTTCCTCCTCCTCTTCCTCCTCCTCTTCCTCCTCCTCTTCCTCCTCCTCCTCCTCCTCCTCCTCCTCCTCCTCCTCCTCCTCCTCCT